GACATTAATGAACTTTTTTCATTGAGGAAATTATACCTACGAATCATTGTTGTTTTTAATATGGGTGGTAGATCCGTTGAATTCAAGAATCCAAGTAAATTTCGATAGTACAAAAAGGGAAATTTGGCAACTAGACTCATTTTATAAGACTCTTTCATGAACATTTAGATTTATAACTGATTGGATACCATACAGCAGGAAACATTCGTATACCGTGGACTAAAGCACGTTTCTTGGCATTACAGACCACACATGGGAACACTAAAGTCGGTTGAGGGATTAATTTAAATTATTGCATACAATTAGCCCTCTCACATTCACCGAGTTTCCAGCAAATCGAAAATTAACCCACGAATGTAAAAATATAATTAAAGACTAAATCAAATAGGTGATTGCTTTAAAATAAATATGCGGAATCGATTCGCCAAATTAGCAATTAACCTTCTCTACCTAGCTTTATGAGGAACATTAAAAATAATAGCTCAAGAACTGTTAATTTAAATTCAGAAATGTTTCCCAGATTGAAAATATTTACGATCAGTGGTGAAAATGGAAATAGGCACGAAGGAGAACTAAAACTTGAGGAACGATAAAACGACAAACTTAACAAAAAGCTATCTGTTCATAATTTGCCTTGTCTTAATAACTCGTACAGTTCTTATCCTCTTAAAATTGTAAACAGACAAATTTTTGTTTTGTTCGTTGTTTTCTCGCAGCTTTGGTTTAGATATTTTTCGTACATTTTGTACAGACGGGAATAGTTTGCATGAATCGTTACAATGAACATGGCACAGTTTGGTACTAATCACCTCATCTGTAATATCTTCAACAAAAGAGTCAACTAAGACTAAGAATGGTTTCCAAAGTTAACAAGAACATTAAATCAATGGTAAATCCACGAACCTGCGCGTCACAAGCGGACCGGCCGAACCCTGGCTTGCATGCGTGTCACGGGTTACTGAGGTTAGCCGCGCGCTGTAACACAGCATCCTTGCGCACTGCTCTCAACCTTGAATGGATTCCCCAGAATTTCCCTTGGAATTTCCGTTGCGCAAACGATAATAATATTTACTCTACATAGCGCCAATTTTAAATAGAAATGTGATGCATCACAACTAGACAACCTACTACGATGTTATTTTAAACACTTCAAAATATTCTGTCTCCTAGTATACATGTATATCTGTGGTCGTCATTATAGCCATATTTTCACTCCTTAACTGTGCTTACAGGGATCAAAATAAAAAAATTAAAAATACCGGCAACAAAAATAAAACTTCAATCAATAAAGATGAAGTAGAAGTATGGGTGAAGAGAAGATAATTTTTGTTTTTAAAATAATTAATGTGATAATGTGGACCGAATGGGCTATTTTCACCAGCAATTGTATTAATTAAGATACTGTATGATGATAATGTGTTAATCTCGTATCGCAGTTCCATGATGTTGATAAATTATGCATCACTATTTAGCATTAAATAACAATCAGAACCGTGTGAATCACCCTAATTCACGAAGGATAGTCCGTGTTACAAACACCCTAAACCAGTACAATGACCGACTTCAAGAATATTTTTTAACATCTGATGTCAAAGTTTTCTTATGTTTTGCATAGCAAACTATTATGAGTTTGAATTTCATTGCGCATATTGACTCGAGACGAATCCATGTAACGATTTCATACATCAAAATCTCAGGAATCCTTCAATTGATAATAATTGACTAAACAGAATATCCTGCGGCTCTATGTTCATGCACACAGATACGCATAATTCAGGCCGTTAGTGGCAGAAGCCAGCAAACTATTTATTACTTTTTTGTACAGAATCAGCAGGTCTCACGCGTATCAAACTATGTAAAGGATTGCCAAAAGCATAATAAGTATAAATATAAAAATTGAAATAAATAAAAATAAAACAATATTCAATAAAACCTGCAAGTATTAACATTTTTTTTTCACTATACATGTAAAACTTGATATGTCAAGCCCTTAATAAATTTGGAATACTTTTTTTCTCACTATTAGCATATATTATTGGTTTTATATCATTAAGAACGTTATATCAATAAATTGGAAGCCACCGCAGTAAACAAAGTTGCCTCTACTTATCAGGGCTTCTTTAAAGTGCGATGAAGCAATTTAGGTTAACTGCTGAATTGTATTACTACTTATGAAGGCTTCTTTATATGTGCAATGAGCAAGTTAGGTTAACTGCTGAATTGTGTTACTACTTATGAAGGCTTCTTTGTATGTGCAATGAGCAAGTTAGGTTAACTGTTGAATTGTATTACTACTTATGAAGGCTTCTTTGTATGTGCAATGAGCAAGTTAGGTTAACTGCTGAATTTTGTTACTACTTATGAAGGCTTCTTTGTATGTGCAATGAGCAAGTTAGGTTAACTGCTGAATTTTGTTACTCCTACGTACGTAATGTGATGCGTGTGTGGCAAGTGTCGTCACTGATGCTAAGTGTTGCTGAGCATCAGTGCGATGATCGTACCTTAAGTTTTCGTGTCTGCGTTTTGTGTTCAGTTTATTGTGCCTCTAATACTATATGGATCGTGACACAATTAATAGGGAGGATATTAGACACAAGAGAGGTGTAACAACTTCACTTTCATTCCCAACTAACCAACTTTTCCTCAGTGACGAAAAAAAAAAGAATTGCGAACATCGCACGACAACGACAAAAGCAGTCAGGTGCACAGATGTCATAAAAATGTTGCGTTGGTCTTAGTATATGCCGGCTGCATTCACCGAGTGGGATGGTTGATGCTTCTTTTCATACCCGCTCTGCATACCTAATGATCAGCTGGTTTCGTTAACGCTTTCGAGGAATTATGGAGATACATGACATCACAGTTAGTGATGCCTATCTGAAAAAATACGAAGGGAACTGAATGTAAGCATATGATCTGTATCGCTATTCATGCGCACTTTGTGCAGCATTTGTGTCATGTACATATGTGACCGCATGAGGGAACTATGGTCTGGATACATTGGATATTGTTAGGTACCAAAATTTTCGTTATCGGAAAATATTCCAGCTCTTTCTTCTTCAGTATCACACTTTATAGACCACGACCGTAATAAGTAAAGTAGTTTCCAGTGCTGTGCTATACCTTTCGATACTATACTTAATACTTCCTTCACTGCCTGGCTGAATAGCAGGCGGGGATGCGTTTTTTGTTCTAATCTTCTTGACATTAATGTTCTTCCCGAGTCGAGCAAGTTGGATCATGCTTGATCGATTCAAGGTTCTACCTGACACAGTGCAAAAATTTAGGTTATCGTCTTATTCTTTATTGCACGTTAACAATAACTACAGCTGATACTTTCGCTGTGTAAAGGTAGTTCCTGAGGGTGGCAGCTCCGAGGCGCAATCAAGCTTATACAGTACGTAACTTCTTTTATTTGGCTGCGTAAAACAAGCTCATTGCAGCCACTTATGTAAGGCAACATTTATGTGTGGCTGCTGTGATGTGTTGCAGGTATCTTTCCTCATCACTCTTACAAAAAAATCTATAACAGATACTTAAAATCGGAGATTTCTGACAGATTTGAGGGCTTTTTCGTCTAGGAAGCACATGCTGATAACTCTTGGAGCCGCGAATCCACAGCCACTGCTCACGCAAGCCTATCATACTGTAAAAATATAAGCTTATGGCCCTACCTCCTCTATTACCCCGACTCTGCTCCCAAACTTATCCCAACTTGATAATGTTACGGTCATTGGAGGGGCAAAAGTGGACAGGAGAGGCAAGTTAGCAGACAAAACCTGCTTTTGGCTGCGGGAAACAGGAGAGACGGGGTAAGTTTGGAGGTAGTGAAGATTGTTAATATTATGATGAGCGGTGGATGATGGGCTTACGTTCTGTGAAGTTTGACACGGAATTTTTCTTGCAAACGACGAACCAGAGTGATCTGCAAATTCTTGGTTCTGATACGGGCTCGAAAGGATGATGTCACGGCACCGAATCGCCAGATGCATTGTGGGATCGGCCGCCATATTTGTAGCCGGGACTAGCTTTCGCCTATGTGTTAAATCTACTGCGATCGTCTCTTTTTGAAGTTTTTGCTTGAAGATGGGACGCTACTGCACCGTTATAGGATGTACCAGTCGTTCTCACGGCCATTTAAACAGGAAACTATACAAAGGGAAGCGTTTATTCAGTTTACTAGCCGTGAATGCCGTGTATATCGTATCAGTTTATGGCTCGTATTGATATACGTATCGCATATCAGTTCACCCGCCGTGGTGAACTATACATTTGCCAGGGGCAAAATCTGTTACTAGCCACTGGGCCATGTGTGATACAAAGATGGCGGCGTAGCAACGCGGCTAACGTGGATACGCGGGAGCTTGGCGAGCCCGATTGCATGTTGAAGGTGGGATTGGGCTCCAGGGCTTATTTATGAGTTAATTCAAATCTTACTAATACACCACAGCTTCAATTTGTATCTCATGCTACGAATTCCTTTGAAAACCTTCGAAAAAACTCACAACTTATTTTCCTAGAGGAGAACCGTTAGCCACTCCGCGTCCATTGCACCGGATCCACTAGGTATTCTCCGACCTCACAGGCGACCTCGCTATCGGACTCAGAGGCAATAATTTCTGCATGACTGAAAATAGCTTCTAAAACCTTATGGAATAGCTTTGCTGATGACATCGTTGACGCTCCGAGTATGAACGCGTTCAATGATAAACTAGACAGTGCTATGCAGATGTATATATTGTCTTGAAATTCCTAGCACCATACGGAACTATTAAAGTCCAGTGACGGAATAAATCAACATCATTTGAAAAAATCTTTTCAAAATGCCAGTTTTTAGATCTGTGAAAGTCAAGAAAAGTACGAGAACCGGCAATAGGCCTAAACAGGCATATCTCTTCAACGCCGAAGATGCTACGCTGTGCTAAATACATTGATATTTCAAGATACGTATATCTATAAACCTAGGCTGTTCAATTCGGATAGGAAAGAATGACAATAGCAACATGCCGAGGAATTTTATTGGCTAGCTAAGTTTGTTCATTTTTCTGTGCATGCTCTGCTACAGCACGTTTAAATCTAGCGAGAAATTCAATTAAAGGTGGCGTCACTTCCGGAGTGCAGGGAACGAAGTGGCCGCCGCTGTGACGTACAATTATAGCGTCGGAGAAACACGCAGCGAAGTCCTCACTCATCGACACGTCGACGATCTGTAATAAGAATGTATCTGAAACACGAATTCCGTCGAGAAACAATAGCAACAACGTGATTCATTATCATGGAAGGAAATACTGCTTAATTAATGGAAACCAAAGTTACAATATCCAAAGAAGTGTAATTTTAAACGCAATAAATACTTTTGAAGTGCATTCGAACACGTTTTCGTTGCACGTGTTAGTTGATGAGGAAACGCGCGTCATCGACGAATTTGAAAATCAGAATATTCTTCTTCTTCTTCTTCTTCTTCAAAAGAAAAAACATATAGATCAACTATTTACTCCAAGGGAAAAATACACTATCTAAAAAATTCACATCCTAGAAACGGTATAAAAATTTTTACATGAAGCCCTGTATCAATTCTTACACCTATCATCAATGTACTCGAGACTGGGATAAAATCATGAGACGACCATAGGGGAAAAGTGATGAGAGACTGTATCTTATCCGCTGGGTATCACCATGTTGTTGTAACCAGTTTCCAGGTTGAATGTTTCCGGTCAAATGCAACAGCGCGCGCCGCTACCAGAAAGAAGAGCATGTAAGGCACCTGGTCGGCGAGGCCGCAGACGTGCAGGGAGGGCGTAGGGATGACGTGCTCGTAGAAGGCGGCGTGTAGACTGCAGCGAGACTTGAACCCCGACACCAACACCACGAACCTGCGCCCAACCGTAAAGGGTTATATATCAAACTTGACCAGCACTCAGCCAATAAGGGTTAGGAGTCAAACTCCTTGTCAAAGGAGTACAAAAATCGAAATGCAAATGATGCAAGTTATTTTTACATGACGTGTTTAGTTTATGTGATTTTAGCAACTCCTGACAATTTATGCATTACCTTTTAGCGATTTCAAAGGATGATATAATATCGGTACGAATATTGGAACTTTTTAATTAAGAATAGACTATGTTTTTTATAAACTGTGTCTTTTTGAATCTGCTAGTTCTCTAATTATGATGCCTATGCTAAATTCTCGTTTAAAACTGGCATAGTGCGAAGAATGACGGACAGCAGCACACCCGAGAACAATTGCCCACAGCTCAAATTCGGTTACATCCATCCTCATTGACGTCTAGGTGGCAACTAGTATTCAAAGCGCGCGTTCTCAAACTACCGAGTACAAAAACAGTGTGAACGGTTGTGCGCGGTGAGGCACTGCAGCAAACGACTCAAAGCGCATGTCGTTGCCACTAGTGTAAACGGGCCTTTATAGACTACGTGATTGGGGCATCGTAAGATCACCTCGCGTAAGTTACACAAATTTGTAACTGGTACACGTAAAATTTTCATCACAACGAAATCCTCCTACAGCCATAAGATAAGGATATTGAGGGCAGGTGGCCCAGTGGCTATAGTCAAATCAATAAATTCTGGACAATTAAACATAAATATAATTTAAAGCAGGTTGGCCGAGTGGTTCAAGCTCAAAGTACCAGGATTGAAACAACTAGTTGCGGATTCGATCCCAGCTTCCTGTGACAGTTCCGCTCAAGAGCGGAGATGCGGCCGGATGGTTGCCAAAAGCAAGTTCGGAACAGCGAATTGCGGTTCGAAACCCCAGCAAGTAGCGAGAATTCCGCGAGTCTAGAATCGGCGATAGGCCAGATTTAGCCTATGCAATTTAGACACCACTATTAATGAATACTATATTGCGGACCTCGAAGCCCCTCTGGTAGTCGGAATGGTGGGTAGCCCGGAAGAAGCCGTCCTCCCTCGAGAACCACCACCCGCGACCCGGGGCCCGCCCCTCCTCCCCGGGGATACCGGACTCGTCACCCGCCACCACCTCCAGGCTCCCCTCCACGAACTCGAACTCGGCCAGCGAGTTAAGCTTCTTCCTGCGTAGCGTGCGAGTAGAAATATGATCAATATAATCAGGACGTTACTTCACTGGCATTTACAAGTGATCAGAATCATTCAAAAATATATCAAAAAACAAACGAAAATGCCACAACATACGCAATTTAGTGTCACGTTTTTTATTCAAATTCTATAAGCATTATCCAAAACCCACATTTATGATATTTTATAGTATTTAAGTGTTATCACTACCATTTAAGTAATGGTACAACAATAATATGTTAAATTTTCCCTATTTTATTGGTCTTGAAGAAAACGAAGCCATTTGTAGGTATCCCAATTCCTACCTCGATGTGATATTTCGTTTCTATTGATAAGGAAATCACCGCGTCAATTATGAGCCCACGCTTTAAAACCCCACAAAAAAATTCGTTGTTCTTTGCGAAGATTATTGATATTTGTACTATCACGACACTTTAATCCCATATCGAAAAAAATCAAGTTTTCTAAGCTTATCGGACATTACAGGTCTAATTTTTTTCGCAGATAAAAACGTAATTTTCTTCGTTTTTCCACCCACCTCAAGGCGCCAATTCTTCGTCTGAAGGTCTCGGCGTCTTGCCGGTAGCCGTGCAGGCACAAGATACGCAGCTTACGGCCTGCCGGGTTACTCATCTTCTTTCTTTTCTTCTGCTAAATAATCTATTATTAATAACCTATCATATTAAATAACCTATTATTAACCTATTATATTAAATAACCTATTATTTAATACGATTTCCCTTCTTGGTAAAACGGAATGAAATTATTCTAAATTTTCAGCAACCTCGAAAGATCTTAACAGAGTGATTATGTTGAATCGTGGTAAATATAAAGTAAATTTAACCCTGATAGCAAATTTGGTTCAAAACAAACCATGAGCTAAACGAGTTCTCCAGAGACGCAAGCACAATTTTTCACACCCAGACCAGGTACGGAAGTCTAATATTTTAACATTAATAATCTTCAGAACATCATAAAGAGTGATCAAAAATTGAGATGAGAATATTGGACGGAATTATGAAATCGGAGTGAAAGAATTTTATTTGTTTCAAGGCTGAATACAATGAATTATATAATTGATTGATGTGTAAAATAAAAGCTCTTATAGAATAAATCTAATCTAATTTTAATTCAACTAGCTTAAGCAAACGATCGCGTATATAAATTTTAATAAACCCATCCTCAAGCCTAAACCCATATGCAAAAATATTACAATTATTCTCAAGTTAATTGTTTAATAAATTCACACTAAAAATAATATAAATATCAATTCTGATCAAATAAAACTCAGGAAGAAGAATACAACGGCGGCTAAACTAAGCCCGTCGCATCTCAAATCCTGCATCGCTCGCTTTTTTTGCGTTCCTCAAAGCAAATAAATATAATAAACAATATTGGTATATATAATTAATGTAATAAAATATTGATAAATGAATGAGACGGCACCAGGGTACCCAGGGATCGCCGGCCCCTTAGATGTTGCGCCAACATCTCCCTGAGGTCGGCCATAGGCCTACTTCGAGGCAAATCTTTTGGTTTTCATGGTTGGCACTCCACAAATAATCTAGAATTTATTTATACGAATATTTAGGGCACCGTAGGCCTACTTCGGGGCAAATCTTTAGGTGTCCATGGTTGGCACTCTATAAATAATCTAGAATTTATTTATAAGAATATTTAGGCGGTACCCCTGAGCACGAAACAACGCACCATAATTTCTTTCTTTGCCAAATAAACTTTTCAAATCATATTTTATTAAAATAATTTTTTCTTCAAAGAAAAAACTAATTAAATTCATTAGAATTTCTTTGAAGAAATTATGGTGAACTTACATGGCATTTCGTTTGCTCCTAAGTTCTTGGTTGATTTACGATTTAGGGAAATTCGCTATTTAGAGAAATTCGCGATATAGGGAAATTCGCTATTTAGAGAAATTCGCGATTTAGGGAAATTCGCTATTTAGAGAAATTCGCGATTTAGGGAAATTCGCGATCATGGGAATTTCAATGATATTAAAATATGCAGAAGTTTTCATCAGGAGTTGGTGTTTTGGCTAAATTTTCAATAGTCACCTAAATCTGGCCAGGGAGGAAACAACGGAAAAAGCAGCAACTCAGCCTTCTTTTATCTCCTTTCTTTTCATTATAAAACAGCGGGACATAATTGATAATTCCACACATCAGAACAAATGAAATTACAAATTTGGGAATTTCAACACTTATAAATACACACGCGTATCCAACAAACAAATATCAAAGTACCACATACTTTTCTACTAAAATAGATGAGAAGGTGACAACGAAATATAAATGCATAGGAACTTACGTGAATGGTGTAACAAGAGGTCGCTTACACGGGACGTCGGCCGCCCGCACGAGAGAGATAGAGAAGGGAAATGTAAGGAATCCTACCTACATAATAACTTAATGTAAGGAATCCTGCCTACATAATAACTTAATGTAAGGAATCCTACCTACATAATAACTTAATGTAAGGAATTCTACCTACATAATAACTTAACCCCACAACTGGGACCTGCAGTCAGACACCGCGAGCTCAGCGGTGGGGCGCTCAGGAACAAACCCCTAGGAACGCGAAATCCCATAGGACTTCTGACGCGCACAGACACCCGTCAGAAGTCCCTCCTGAGGGGGCGTATCCAACAAAATATCACAGTGGACAGTACTTCTCGGCAAAATGGACGAGAAGGTGACAACGAAATATAAATGCATAGGAACTTACGTGAATGGTGAGCCCTACTAATCTTTTTATTCGATAATCAGCGAGCGGGAAACCTAAGCCTACTTCATTCTGACAAAATAACGAATTTACTTAATAACATAGTATAACTTTTGACTGGCTACAAATGAAAATTAAACGTCGATTGATGCGGCAGGTCTTGATTGTAACTTCCACGCCACGAGTATAATAAAACTTAAACTTAATATCAACTTAATATTTATATAACTCAACTGATATGAATAATATAACCAAATAATAATAACTTGACTTTGAATACAATTTCCACGACCCTTAGCCTCAATGCCAATGGGTAGACAACAATAAACTAGCAATATGTATATTTTCCATTTAATTTCAGTAATTTGTGTTAATGAATAACAACTCATTCTTATACATGATTAAAATCCTGAAGAACGCAGCGTTCTCGCAAGAACAACCCACATGCCACTCCCAGAAGACAGACAATAAAAAAAATAAAAATAATAACAGTACCAACACTACAGAGCCCAACAATATAACCGGCGGATTCCTGTACAAATGACGAACAAACATCGCGAAGGATATCAACAAATAGCCAATTTAATAAAGAATACCAACACATAATCTTCGAAATTTGAGTAAACGCCATGTACACGGAAAAGAAAATTTATTCTGAAGCTGAAGCCACATTAAGAAAGCTTCCTCGTGTTTATGTATACACGGATACATTAAAACGACAGAAATAAATTATACAGATAACTCTCTGCCAGCCTGGAGCTTGTCCCTTAATTAAGGGATTTGAATTATTTCGATATAGGTATAATCAGAATACAAGATATTGTGAATATTAGAATATAATATGCCCTACATTAAAATAATATACATTGTACAATATATGAATAGAATAATAAAGCAGCAATTTTATAGAATATTATTCAATAGCCAAAATAGAGTAGCCTGACTGTGAATAATATGAAGTGTGACGCGGTATATAGTCATATTTAATGCATTTGAGATGACAGCGAGAGCATCACAATAAGAAAGACTCAGCAAACTCAATAAAACGCCTACAGCCGCTCTAGTGCTACACCTCTCAAGAAATGGTGTATCTACTTATCGCGCGTGTTAAAAAATGTAACAAATGACGACTTATTGACATATTAATAGATACATAATATAAATCAATTTGATGCATCAACTCCCTTTGGCACTTTCAGAGGTAGAAAATCGTATTTATTTCATTGTTTGCCAACAGAATTGGATTGTGCTGAGAAGACAAACAATCGTCAAGACACTGGAATGAAGACACCGACAGAGTAGAAGTGAAGGCATTACTTACTACACCAGGGCCCTCAACCCTGTTACACACCAGGGCCCTCGACCCTGTTACACACCAGGGCCCTCGACCCTGTTACACACCAGGGCCCTCGACCCTGTTACACACCAGGNTTTATTTTTAGGAGTGATGAGGATGTAGCGCTGGAATTTACACCACTTTATGTTAGCATTCTGTCTTCCAGGATTTATTTCTAGGAGTGATGAGGATGTAGCGCTGGAATTTACCCCACTTTATGTTAGCATTCTGTCTTCCAGGATTTATTTTTAGGAGTGATGAGGATGTAGCGCTGGAATTTACACCACTTTATGTTAGCATTCTGTCTTCCAGGATTTATTTCTAGGAGTGATGAGGATGTAGTGTTCGAAGGCGGGGCTGATGCCACGTGACTTGAACTTCTCGTCGCCAGACTCGTCGAGGGACTCGAGAATCTTGCAGTCCGCCACATCGCCTGATGGAAATGGAGAAATTAATTCGAGAATCTTATGCCTGCAGAGGAAGTGAGGCAAGTTTTAGAATAATTTAGGATTGATTTCAGCCTTGACAACCATCTCGATGGGACTGTATCTCTTATTTGCTAATCATATTGTCACCGGCTAGAGCTGCTACAAGCCAACTGAACATTATTAGGGACTATTATTCACAAATGTCAGGGGCGGGTGCTGGCAGCTAAAAGCCAAGACAATATATAAATTAATTCCAGGCAACTGTGCTCATTTATTTAACCTTCAATGCCGTCAATAACTAACCTTGTCTTTAGGCAGCAGACTGCTGGTTCAGTAGGAATAGATTAAGATCATGAAGAAGCACACTTAAAATTATTTATTAAAACTCTTTTTCGTTAGAGTCGTTATTTCACTAAAAATAAAAGTTTATAATGCTCCAATTTAAATTATAATCACAGCATTAGGTACATAGACCAGGAAAAGACACAACCTCACATAAGCGAGGCAACAGCAGAATACATCGGCTGTAGTCAGCACGACTAAAAAGGCAGAAAACATAGGCTATCAAAAATTCCTGCCATAAGCTACTAGCTAGTCAACGCCGTTGCTGCCGTTTTTTATTTGACGCCTAAAAACAGAACTTTTTCGTAGAGCCTTTGAATCTTAGGCCTAGCGGTCATCTAATCTATCATGGACATTACTGGTTTAGCGTAGGTGTTGTTTTTTCTAGCATAGACGTCGTCAGTCTTGGCATATGTCCTTTGTTTTAGTATAGACGTCATCTGTTTTTATCCTCTCGTGTCTTTTTAGCCACTTGTAATGTGCCCTCGAAGTTCGATCTGAACGAGACGCCACGACAATCTCTTCGTGGAATAATAATAATAATAAATAGTCTGCCTTCATAGCACTCAGCTGACTGTTGAGGGTAATCATCAGCTAACAACAGCCTAACCAAACTCAAGAGACTGCTGATCTTGGCTAGCTATGTCACGTGCAGCAGCTTACAGGTTCAACTGCCGTGTGTATGACACAATTACTTGACGCGTGCGGTCTCATACATTTTTGTGAACGATAAGAATGATCCAGCAGATAACACATTTAAAAATCCTACACATGAATAGTTAGAAGCATGTAAATTTGGTAAAGAGTTTCCTGTTATTCACATTTTACCTAAATGGCGTTCGGTAATACTCAAAAGATTCAAGTTTTCATCTCTCTTATGTAAGTTTGCAGATATTAGAAAAAATGAAGCCCAAGCATTGGCTCACCATACAAGGCAGTGTGACAAACTGAACAAGTCAGCCACCACAATCTGGAGACGTCCATCTTGTGTCTGTAATATGAATATGTGATTAAATGAGTGAGAAAGAATATAGACCAAATGAAAAGGTCAGCTAATATGAGGTTGTCTGTTGATGAAGAGTTGAACAATTTGAATAACTAAATAATTGCAAATATCCTACAGGGGAACCCCTG